CCCGACTACTCCACTGCATTGGATACGGTTGCCAAGACAAAGCCTTCAAAGTTGGCATCTGCCATGAATGGTATTTTAAGGCACTAAGCACACAAAAGAAAGGCTTGCTTTCACCACATGAATGCCCAAGAATGTTGTAGCAGAGTTCAGGATGACAAAAACAAAAACCAAAAACTAGCCTTCATCTACTTGGGAGAAGTATCTTGTCTGCAAAAAAGAAGTGGAGGCACACTAAGATACACATAGGTATTTCTTCTAGTAATGTCCTATTATTTTACTATTCTAGAATGCAATAAAGATGACACAATCCTCCAAACCATTGTCAGTGTATGAGTAGTGAAGTAAAAGAATAAATTGTGCCAGTAGAATAGGAGTACTAACAATTTAAATACAATAACACAGACACTGCATGCTTATATTACATTACAACATCAGGGAATGTTGCCCGAATAAGCTGTCGCATCACCTTCCATGACCACTTTAACGTTTTTACTTCCCACATTCATTATACCTTCCCTACATATAACTGTTGCCCATACCCCCCAATCTGAAATATTTAAAAAATTTTATCTCAAGTAATGAGTAAGTACTGAGCTATTCAGCAGCTCTCTACTTTTAAGTTTCCTATGTTCTTCTCACATATGTATGGCTGCATGACAAGATGAAATCTTTTCATTAGTCATCTCCAAAAGACCTAACTCCAGGTGTCAAGACAGAGCTCAGATTTCCTCAAGAAAAAAAAAAAAAAAAAAAAAAGGAAAAAAACCCCCAACCATTCAATATTGACAACCAAAGTCTAGGAGGACACCCTCCTTCTGGCACACCGTTACTGTGCTTTTCTCCAGTGCAGGAACTACAACTGCTTCTTCATCAGTCATTCAACAACACACAAACTGGCATCTCTCCCAGAAAATAAATATGCCATCTATATAACACATATGGCTTGTTCTAGCCTAAGGAGTAATAGCCTCAAGGATGCTCTCAGGCACAGCTTCTTCTGCAGAAGCACATCTTGCCTAACAAGAGATGGAAATGAGCGATGACTTTCTCTTCATTCACATACATTTCCAATGTACTTACTTTCTCAAATCCTAGCTCACACATGGAATTAGAGGCCTGCTGAAAAGCTTCCATCTGTTCTTGTTCGTCATGTGCATCCCACAATACATCACCAAAAACTTCCTCTTCAGGAGCAGGGGACTCCTCCTTATTACCCAAATCCTTGCCTTCCACTTCTGTCATTTCACACCCCAATATATCCTAAGTAAAAAGAAAGTTACATGGAGAAAATTGTTCTTAACAGTGCAGGCACATTTGGCGTTAGTCTCAATTTCACTGTGTACAAGTGCAGCTCTACTAACATCAACGTGCTTGTTTCCTTTTAGGTTAGCAGAGAACATAAAGTTAGCTTAACTAAGTCAACTCTGAATGCACAGGTCTCAAGACATTGGTTTTAGTCCTCCCAGGGTGGAAGCAATTCACCACAAGGGAGTATAAGGAGAGAGTGGACTATGCAATCTTTCCTTATCCTGTGATACGGATAGAGAGAAATTAAGACAATTTAGGCCACGAATAGATCCCCTTCCTCTGTTATTTCTGCTTCTGTTCATAAAAGCACTGCTCAGTTTTAGGTTTTATTTTCTACTTGCAGATTTCCTTGCTTGTCAGATATTAATGATAAAACACAAAAAGATCCTTTGAATTACATTTAAGTAGCACACAGTAATCACACTGACTTCATTTAGAATCATAAATCAGAGAAGAGACAGAAAAAGCTGAAATGCATCATGTACTCTACCTGTTTAATTATCTTTTCCACACAATTATAGATTTCATATGCTCCTTCCTCCACACCTCCAATGTGATCAATCATCTGAAAAAGTAAATGGCAAAGCATGACGCAACTCTGAACCCAACTGGCAGCAGTATTTAGGACTTCCAACAAAAACATTCTGGAACACATTTAAATCCCATTCTGTTGCATTCCCTACGTAGGATTCACTTTGCCTAAGCTTTTAAAAGCTGGGCATCTAGTTTCAGTTTTTCTCAACAGTTCTCTCTGTAGAGGGAAATAAATGGCAACCGATCTATTTTCAGATGGGAGGAATCTCTCTGGAGGTACACTTCTCTTCAGTGGTTACAAAGGGATCTTAGAAGATTAACTTTGCCATTTAAATAGTTAAACATAGGTGAGAAATTCTATCCTTATAGCATACGTTGGTTTGGGGTTTTTTTGTTCAGTGAAAATGCAGTGGCTTTTTTTCTCCCCTGCTAATGAAAATTTCATAACATTCATAAATTTAAGCTTCATCAATCTGTTCATATAACGAGCATGCAAAGCAATGAACATAACGCAGTTTCTCCTAAAATTTGGGACTATTAGCACTCAACATTGTTTACAGCAGGAAAGCAAGCCTTTTAAAATTCAATGCCATACCTTTAAAATGCCATACCTTTGCTTTGTTCATGTAAGAAATTTGCTCAATTAACTGTTGCACTGAGACTGAACTGACTCCGCCATCCTCCTTTCTGTGGTAAATTAGCCGGGGTTTTTCTTCTGGATTTCTCAAGAAGGCTTCTTCACAGTCCTCCAACAAACAACTAGATTGGAAATCAGCATTCTTGTGCTATATTACACTGCTGTAGTAAACAGTTCAATCAACACAAGCTCCGAAGATGGGTTTCACTGCAAAATCTAATTCAAAATTCGTATCTATTTACAACAAAGGGCATGCAAATATTTCAGTAGAGAATTTACGATAAGCTCTGAGGCAAGGAAAAGGTGAGAGAAATTTATGCTACTTGTACCAAAAACATTAAAACCATGTATTAACTTTTATGATTATTGCTTTGTAAATTGAAAATTGAGCTTCCTGTCACACCAATACGCAGAGTGAAAGGTAATTGCCTTGCAAGGAAAGAGCATGGATTCACACATGATTAATAAGCATCATATACATGCTCTGCCATCACTTATTTGAAGGGTCTGTTCTATTCCTCGGCCTTTTTAGGAAAAGTCCTTTAGTATTTGTCAGATGTAGGATAGTCTTTTAATTTACAGTAGTTGAAAAAGAGAATCATATACCTCCAAACTCAAAGGCACTTTGTAGTTATATATGTGAATGATATCCATGGATACCATTCCCAGCAATCCATTGTTGTTCCACAGAAGGAACTATACAACTTGGGGATGCTGCCAATAGCAGATAGGATCTCTCAAATATTACGTTCTTTATACAAGCACTACAATTTTCATCAGTTTTTCTCGGAGAATACTGTCGTCAGGAACACTCCTTTGTGGTTTTTTTTTTTTCTTGCATATTTTGTTCTTAAACATTTGTGACCCACATACATAAAACTGGGTTATTTGGCAAGTATCCCCTTGGAGTGTCAATACACTCTCAGCCACTGACATTATCCTTCTAAGAGAACAAATGTATGGCAGCTCTAGTGCAATTCCTCTATGAAAACAAATCAACATCTTCTGTGGTACCTGGCTGCTCCCTGAAGCACTCCACTGTTGCAAATCTTAGCTACCAGTGTCTTAAACCAGCTTTTAATTCTCTGCAGACAGATGTTTTATTGACAGAAACAGGAGGTCTAGATAATACAAGAGTATTTGAAATACCTAGAGTTCAAAATCTACCCCTAATATGAAACTTAACGCATATCAGTATTTTCAGGTTTTTGCATTCATACAGATTTTTTTGAATGACCAATCTGTGATCCTTAATATTATCTGTTCTAATCCCTTTTTCTCTCTTCCTTCAGCAAAAGGTCACGACACCCTCTCCCAAACATCAAAACCAAACTCTGCCCAAAATTCCCAAATGCATAAAAAAACCCAGTCCTAACACAATTCTAAAAGTATCCCTACTTCAGTGTTTTTCATTTAGTAAGTCATGTTTCTTCTTCTAGAAGGTTAGGAAATTATTCACTGAACAAACAGAACACATTGCATCACCACTTGTCATAAAACAACATGACTTCAGCAAATTAAGCTGTAGAAAGCTAGCATAAGGTACCACAGAGGAGAGACATGAAATCCGTCTGAAAAACAGCCAAAGATAGAAAATAGTATGTGACAGAATAAAATCAAAATACTACAGACAGGTGTAAGGTTAGATAAGCAAATGAAAAACACTGAGGACATTCACACCAGCCATCTTGAATTCCTTAGACTCCTGCAATACACAGGACAGAGAGCTGCTCTTGGAAAGCAAAACATTTCTGTGTTATGAAGACATCTTTCATGCTGTGTTTTAAGAGAATCTCTAGCTACAAGAAAAAAGAAACGATACAAAGCTGATATATTCTTTTAACTGTCTGCACTAGCAAACCTGAAGTTTGAAGGAGTATCGCTGTGAAGATACTAGCTTAGGAAATGTACTGAGCAAAGCATCACACATATTTCAATAAGCTATGCACTCTGCATAAATTAACAGCTTCCATTTGCTCTACCAGTCTGCAAAATACCTACCTTGGCAAAGTTAAATGCAGGAGCAAAATGACTAATGAACTTTTTTCAATTTCCCATTTTCTTACATCCTTAAGAGGCCTTTCATTTTCTGCTGAAAAATGAATAATTTGAAAGAAGTACCCCATTGTTTCACAGACTCTTTGAAGTTTTGGTGAGTAGTTCTGAAAGCAAATTTGAATAACAGTGCTTTATTATTAAATCTGCATAGCATTAAGGACCTACTAGATAAATCTCAGTCTCCAGCCCCAGCAACAGCTACTGCAACTGCTCCAGCCCCGGCAACCGACACTGCAACTACTCCAGCCTTAAACGGTGACACAGTTTCTTCCCCTGAAGACCTTGACAATACTTTCACTGACTTCACTGAAACCACACTACATCTACTAAAGCTTTCAAGAAATATTAGACAAACTTCTGAATAAGTATCACAGTGGAAACAAAACAGCATGTAAGTTAGCATAAGTTTGTGAGGTACTCACTCTAATGAAGATGTCAACTTCTGGTTGAGTCTCATCAGTACTAATAATAAAGCATCTTACTGTGTTACTCCACAGAGAGTGGGAAAACAGAGGAGTAACCTGTAATAAACTGGCAACAGCAGCATCCCAATCATCTGCCAATGAAAAAAAAAACCAAACACAACACAAAATGAAGCCTAGAGATCTCCACATCTGATTACACTGCCTAACAGGTAAGTTATCACCTCTTAACATTACAAATACTACATTTTATTTAAAATAGTACTAACATTTTTACTCACCTATTTTAATTTTATAAACTTGAATTTTGAGAACCCGTATCATCTCATAATGGCATATAATTTGATGATGTGCCAAAATAGCAGTGTCAAATATATGCATATTATGATTACAGTGATATTTCCTTTAAATAGGATCGATGAAACGTATCCACAAAATCAAGCAGGAATAATAAAATCACTCACAGTTGAACATTTTTTATTTTTTCCTCCAGATCTACATTTATTTCAATTAGACCATGCGAATAAATGACAGTAAAACATTATGGGAACTTCCTCTTCCTGAGATGAAGTCCATTGCTTTCTGTAGTACTGTATGCGAATTCCCTACAGAAGCAATGAATTTTAAAACTTTCTTAGGTTCCTAATTTTGTGGTCGTTCATTCTTTCAAGATAGGAGTATCTTCTCCTTTCAGGACCACATGGGATAATGAAAGGCTTAGTGTATGAAGCTGGAGCCACTGCACAGCAGACCCTCCCCTCCCACTCTCCAGGCACAGACTTCTGAATCAGAGCCTGAAGGATTGAAGAAAAAAAGGGAGAAACTGCCAGCAAAGTCAACTACACGCAGGAGGGATTCCAGGGCCAGCACAACAGCGAGGGAAACCAGAGCACCAGGAGACAATTTACAAGAGGCCATTTGGGAAACAAAGTTCAAAAGCACCTATTATTGACAAGAAAACATCTAACACTGATTCACGTAACAATGCACACATCCTGGTCTTGCCATCAGATTTCCATAAATGGTCCCCCACGCGGAGTCAAAACCCATGCAAATCCAATGAAAAAAACAGGGATATAGTTTATTCTAATAGGAATATAACGTTCATACTTGGGAAGTAGAGAATTTGAATACTAATGGAAAAAAGAACGCCAGCAGATACTGAAATAAAGATTACTATCTTCCTTAGTCAACATAAACAACAAAATGGTATTTGGTTTACTCACAATGAAGCACCATTCACTGGTGTTTGCTAAAATCACTGCTGCACATCCCGTAGTCACTAAATATATGACACATAACTTAGCATGTACAGCTACAGTTCCTTTTATTTTTACAAAGATTTCCAAATAACCCTTTAGTCATATTATTCAAGAACAGACAGAAAAGGAGCTAAGAAAGAAGAGAATTACTTAAGAATGGATAGAAAAATGACACAGACGTCTATACACCCAGCAAAACAAACCACCATTACTTACCCCTGTTTATATTTGCAAATGGTCCCTCAACGTCTATGGAGCTATGAGCAAATTCTGGCCCTCTGAAAGACTGCTGAAGTTGCATCATACTACCCATGGACGGCTCACTTCCCAAAGCTCCTCCGTTCCAGTATTCGGACTGTGCCCCAGTAGCTAGGAATTGGAAACACAAACAACCTCTTCATTGTCACTAAACAAGGTAAATTATCAGTCTTAAATACTCCAGCTGAAACCTACTGCCATATGCCACTGATCGTAACTTTTTCTCCTTTAGTCAATTTGCTCATGCCTTTGTGTGCTGTAGTTCTAAATGGGCGCTTGTCCAAAGTTAATGAGAAGCCATGCTCCTAAAGGAAGAGGTTATTTGCTAATATTCGTTATTATATAGATTGCTCACATCTGTTGAGTTCAAATGCCGACTTACATTACAAATCAGGAAAACAGTTCACAGTATTGCTGCAGTCATTTGTGCACATCACAAAATTGGCAACTTTTGTTCAGAAATGTTCCAGCACTGAAAAAGCGTAAAGGAGCTGTAGGTCAGGACTGAAATATATTCTTTATATGTGTGAAAGAGCTTTCACAGGACCTGCTCATAATATGCTTGGATTACACTTCTGCCAATCAATATACATCATTCAAGACACTAAAATCTTCCACGATGAAAATCAGGAAATTGAAAAAGACTCAGAAAAAGGTAAGAAGGGAAGTATGGTTTCAAGAATTAATTTAACACAAAAGAAGACAGAAAAAAATACATAAAAGTAAACAAGAGTATCTGTACCACTGAAGTTCAAACGAAAAATTACCATGCAAAAAGCTGATCACTGCGTTTTGAAACATTTCTACTTTTAGAGATTGCATATTTACACTCCTCCCAAGATGTGACTGGTGATACATCTCAATAAGCAAAACAAATGTTAAGCAACAGCACTTGCACGCAGTTTTTCCTCAGTAACCCTTCATGGTGCAAGAAGCAACGGTGGCCATCCTTAAGAGCATTAAGGTGCTGTCTTTTACAGTCATTGCTCTATTTTGAATCGGACACACAGTCAGTGGGCTGATCACATACCTATCTGAATCCTTCCCATGTTACCAAATACCTCTTACAGCATACACAACTTTTTGCCTTTTATGTCATTAAGTTTGCTAGGGCTTCCCTTTCAAAGCATTCTTCAATAAAATTACTCTTTTGGTTAGTTCATGTTTGTTAAATACCTGACTCTGCTATTCTGAAAAGTACAGCAGCCGAAACAGGCGTACTTCACCATCCATAGAGCATACGTCTATCTAAGATTCCCTCTAGTTTCAGGTGTCTCCAGTTTTTCGATCCTTTGGAACAATATCTCTCAGATCTAGAATTAGAAAACTCAGAACTGTTCACAGAACAATTAAAAAGAGTGTTCAAGTCACTATGTCTAGACAGTGCTCTATTTTCTCCATCTAGTCATTCATAAGACTAGAAATGTGGGGTTCCCACAACCTAAACCAAGTTTGTAAAGTGAGCTGCTTTTACCCTTTAAACTACTTTATGTTGCTTTTCATCTGGATTAATAAACTTTTTTCAAAAGAACATGAATATTTGTCTTGTGCTTTACTATTCAGAGACTTCAATCATGTTCCAACACAAAATGCTGGGCATGAAATTCTCACCCGTAACATCTGTACAATTATCGTCAGAATCAGACTCTTCGGGATCAAACACTTGGATTCCTTGGGCCTGGAGTCTCTGAAGTTTTGCTTCTAACTCTCGTTTGGCCCTCAGTAAGTCCTGAATCTCATTTTCTTTAGTTTCTCTAAAAATCTATGAGCAGGAAAGAAAAACAAAACAAAATGAACCATAAATCTTTTGAAATTCAGTATCAATTCCTGAATTCATCTACCTTCAGTTGGAAAAATACGTGTCTAGCATTCATTTAGCAGGCAAAGGCATGAAAACATGGACAAGAAGCCATCAGGAGCCTATAAAGGAGCAGGAAAACATAGTTTAAAATGATCTGGTTTTAGAGTTTTACCATTTTAAACCTTAGCATACTGTTCCGAAACTTAGAAGCCTGCATTAGTATGGGAACTTCATTAAAAACAGCAAGTAACTTTCTTCACCTTTTAAAGATTGTCTTCTAAAATCACTACATGTAGTAATTTTTTTCAAAGCTTCCCCTTTTATTCATCCATGTATTTTTTTTACATTTACATATAATCTCGTTTTTACTTTTTAATGTTGCGGAAATTTAAATTTCCTAAGATAGAAAGTGATCAAGCATCTCCAGCTGTCCTGTTTGTAAAATATTATCTAGATTTAAATTCAAAGAGATGAAATCTTCAAGTCTCATTTTCTTGAATAAGGTCAAAACCAATCCTCTTTTCATATATCTGCCAAACATTAACACCTGTTACAATTAAAGATATCAAGAATCTTGAAAATAGTGCAAAACCAGGACCTATTGCCCTGGTTTGGGTGGCAGAAGTATCATCATCTGCAGCAAGGGAAATGCAGAAGCATCAGCTTGGCCTTTCAAGTCATCCCACCAGAAAGTGCAATGGCTTTCGTCTTTAACCGGCTATCTATCCTACTTTAGCAGCCAAAAGAGATGCAGCAATACAGACTTTTCTTTAATGTAAGATAGAAGTGTTAAACATTACAACGCTATATATAACATTTATTCAGAAATAACGGAACTCTGTGTTTATACATTCCTTCAGCATGTGTCAGTTTGCAGTCCATGTTTTCTTGTCACTCAAATATGAATATATCCCTGTGTTCAAATAATGCATGAATTTAGTTTAAGATACATCACTGCATATTCTCCTTTTAATATTTAAAAAGTTATTTTCTACTTTTGCCTCATAGTTTTACAGAGAACTTTTGGTAGGACTATCTTAAAGTAAATAGGCAGCTACAGCATTGCTACTCTTTTTTTTTTTTTTTTTTAAAGAAGGGGCGGTCCTCATGAAAGCTATGGAGAAGAGTTTGGGGGGAAATGTGACTAAGTGACATCTATCTTCTTTTTGGTCATTTTCCCAGGAAAAGAAAAGTCAAGCCATACCTTGAATTGCCTTTTGACCTTGTCTCGATCGTGTTCAAAAGTAGCAGCTCTCTCCATGGCTTGGTATTTAGCTTCTAACGCACTTTCTTTCTCTCTAAGTATTTTCTGGTAAGTTTTCTGAAGTGCCTGAAAACATTCAATATACCATTTTTCTGAGCGAAAGCAATTGCTGATAAAAGGTTTTGGGCTACCTTTCAGGTCTGACTACAGCAATGTCACCCCAGCACCCTACGTCTCTCCTGACTCCAGAGAGGACAGTCTCCATCCCCAGAGGCACACGCTGACCGCACCTCCACGGCTCACCAGATCAGCACCGCAGCACCCACCATTCCCCCAGCACCTCGCCTTCCTTGGGAAGGAAAAGCCATCGCCCCCTGTGCCTCCCCGCCACAGCTTTCCTGGGAAGCGGGGTGAGTCCTTCGCCGCCTCACATGTACGGGCCCCCCGCTTCGCCGCTCCGTCCCCTCACCCGAGAGGGTGGCGGGAGCTACCTGCAGCTCGGCGCGCAGCCGCTTGTTCTCCCTGTCCAGTTTGGCCTCCTTCTTCACCATGGAGGCCACCTCGTTGTTCTTGCTGACGCGGAAGATGTCGTACTCCTTCTTCAGGCGCTCGTACTCGGCCACGCACTCCAGCTCCTGCACCGAGGC